GATCCTTCCTCCACTTCCATCTCTAGGTTTTCACTGCTTTGTGAATTCCTGACTGAGAGGCCTGCCCTTCCCCATTCATTTACAAATGGCGTCAGGGATGGAATCTTTCTCACCACCACTCTGACCTGAGCCACTGGAAGGAGGGGCAGCTGAGGCCTGAGGAGAACAGTGGCATGAATGGGGGAGGAAAAGTAATTATTCTTGTTCCTTCCCCAAAACTGTTTTCTCTCACCCACCTCTCCCAGACAGAGGAGGACAAGAAGAACCTGCTGCGGCTGCAGGACCTGGTGGACAAGCTGCAGCTGAAGGTCAAGGCCTACAAGCGCCAGGCTGAGGAGGCGGTGAGTAACTCTGCTCAGGTCAAAGCCTGTAGGAAGGACTCAAGGGAGCCACTGCCCCAGGCCAGGAGGCTTAGGGCCCAGGCCTCCTCTCACCTCAGGCTCCCTCTGCCCACAGGAGGAGCAGGCCAACACCAACCTGTCCAAGTTCCGAAAGGTGCAGCACGAGCTGGATGAGGCAGAGGAGCGGGCAGACATTGCCGAGTCCCAGGTCAACAAGCTTCGGGCCAAGAGCCGTGACATTGGCACCAAGGTGGGCCCCTCCCCTGGGCTTCAGTAGCCACCCTACACAGCCACCCCTCCTCTCTTGGCTTCTGACAGTGCAACCTCACACCAAGGGTGCCTCTCTCTGATACAATCCCCAAGTAATCCAGTAAGCCCCAAAGGCCAAGATAACTGAATTCCCTGTGATTTTTAAGCCTCTTCCTACCCACTCAGTGATCCTACGAGCCCCAGCCCTAGGGTGATCTGCAACCCTACAAAATCCCAACTTACATTTGCCACATATTTTTCAGTGTGTACACTGCTCCCACCAAGGGCTTGTATCAGGCCACACGGGAGGCCTCCACCCACCCACACCCTGGTCTCACCTTTGTTCTCCATTCTCCACCACTCCTGTACCTCTCCACAGCTAATTTGAATTTTCTTTCTTTTCAAAAGGGCTTGAATGAGGAGTAGTTTTGCCACATCCAGATCTGCTCAGTCCTGAGGGTGCCAATGAAGCCCCTAGACCTGGTGCCTGCATAGGAGCCCCTTGGGAGGAACCAGAATAAAGCAATTGTCCTGAAGCTACACCCTGCCTCAGTTCTTCACTGCCTCCCATCAATGGGGCCCTGGGTGGGGGTAGGGATGAGCCCTGGGTGTGGAGTGGTGAGGACTCCAGAGGAGGAGCAACAGCTTCAAAGGCCAGGTGAAGAGGCCTCTCCCAGGACCCGGGAGGTTCAGACTCCTCCTAGGAGCAGTCCTGTCTGTGGACCCCCAACACACAAATTCAATGTGGTCAAACCGGAAAAAGAGGTAGCACCTCTCTTCCCTCTCACTGGCCTGGCACCCCAGAGGGCTTGAAAGGGGCCTTACAGAAACACCTAAGTTCACCAAGGGCACCCTGAGCATCTATAGTCCTGCACTGCAACTCTGACAACACTGTCCCTCACTGGTAACACCTGGGGCTGAGGCCAGGGAAGGAGGCTTGGCGTACAAGGGATGACCTTATACACCTGCAGTGCCCCTACAGAAGTGTGACCCGCTTGAGGTAATGGCCCCCTAAGCCCTCCCTTCGCAAGTCTCTGAGTGCACACGAGGATCACAGTTGTCCTCCAGATACAACCAGTCCCAGAGCCCACCCCTCTCCCACCCAGCACAGAGGAAGGCACCCTTAGCCCACTGTTCTTCCTTCCTTTTTTCTCTCCCCCAAGGCTCAGTGCCTGGGTGAAGGGTTCCCGGTTCGTTTCTCATTTCCCCGCTTAACTTGCATGCACAAGGCCGCTCTCCTCTGTGATTGCTGGAACGTGGAGTTCTTTGGCCCCTGTAATGGCAAGCATCTCAAGGGAAGCAGGCAGAGGAAGGACTAGAGAGGGCAGAGTGTGGGTGAAACTCCAGAGAGGAGGGGAAGGACAGGCTGGCAGGTGGGGGAAGGGCAAGTTCCCCTTCAACTTAGCAAGTCCAACCCCTTTCATGTTGCTGTCACAGCTGGGCTCCTTAGGATGTGCCTGGCCCCGTGGGCCTGGAAGGCAATGGGACTCACAGCCCTGCTGGGAATCTAGTGCAGCCCAGGACTTTCTCTCCCCTCAGCACCCCACCCCCATCACACACAGTTCTCCTCCACAGCCTGTGTTGAGCTCTGAGCTCTGCATGCAGCAGCCAGAGTAAGAGCTATGTGCCAGGAAAGAGGTGAGGCCAGTATGGAGAACAGCAGGTGAAGGCAGAGCAAAGAAAGGGAATACAGAATCAGAATGGAAACACGGGCAGGGGTGTACAATGGAGAGGGGGAGGGAGGACATGGCAACAGTATGAGTGTATGAGTAGAGGAAACAGAGACACAGAAAGAGATACCAGACATGAGGAGGTCTCAGAGGGAGCCTGGGCCCTCCCAAGCTTCCGCCTGACATGCTCCCCCTCAGGACGGTTTCTCTGCCTAGGAACAAACTTGGAGAACATTGAAGAGATCGGTAGAGAATAGAGAGAACACACTGAAGAAGGAGGTGTGCAGAGAAGTCCAGGGGACTTCAGCAACCAGAGCCTGAGAAAGCAAGCACTTTGTGGGGGGGTGGTGCAGACTGCAAAGCTGAGCTCCCAGGGAAAGAGGATGCCTAGGGAGAGGAGGAAGTGAGAGGAAGCCCTGCATAGAAAAGCTCAAATTGCTGAGGGAGCCGACCCTAGCAAAGGGAGGAATCTCGGGTCATATTCAGATGCAAGAGTCAGTAACCCAAGGAGCAGGGAGGCTTCAGGGAGGTGGCTGAGGAACCCAGAGATGTAGTGGTAGAGTCAGGCCAGGTCGAAAGCTCCCAAATTCAGTTTAAAGACAGAAGAGTCTCGTGTCAGGCCCCTCAATGGGCAAAGACATGGGCCCAAGAGAATCAAAGGTGAGGTCTGACTTTGAGACAGGGCACCAGGAAGAGGAAAAGGCGGGTCAGACACGGGGACAGAGACATCAGGAGCCAGGCAGAAAAGGGGCAACCCGTGCCAGCCACCTAGGCCCCCTCACCTGTGGCCGGAGTCTCCATCTTGTATCCGCACACTCCAGTACTTGCAGCAGAATGAGGGTGGGTTTGGGAGGCAGCTAGGGAGGGTGGAGAAGAGTGTGAGAGCCAAGGAGAAGAAGGGGGCTAGGAAAGGAAGAGGAGGGCAAACTGGCCGGGGGCAGAGCCCAGAACCAAGTTAACCCCTTCCCTCTTTTCTCGTAGGAGCCAGTGGGAAATGCCTGCCAACTACTCACCCCACCAGCACCTATACCAAGTTTGGCCTGCTCAGTACACTGGGTTCCCTGAGGACAGAGCCTGGCTTTTGTCACCTGGACATGACCCAGCCTGAACTGGTGTTCTCAACCCCTTATCATGTCCCCAAAGTGATGGGAACCAGTTAGTGACACATTGGGTCATGGACTAAACCCCAGCTTGTGCACTGGGACCTTGAATGACCTAAGGTTGGGGATGGGTGTTCTGCATCCCCCAGGGATAATGATTTGGCATATACTCCTACAGGAGATGAGAACCTAGGTTGACTTGGGGCCCTTTGTGATGGTGAAGAGGGCAGAGTTCCCAGGAGAGAGGTGCATTCTTGAGCCCCATGTGTGGCAGTGAAGTATTCTAGAAGTTAACAACCTCACAGGGCAGCCACATCTTTAGTGGACAGTGCCCTACCAAAAGGCTGACCCCTATCTGTCCTAACCACCTCCACACCCCAGAGCTATATTGAGAGGTGACAGTAGATAGGGTGGGGGTGGGGCTGAAAGAGTGTTCCTGGGTGTGAGGGTGTCGGGGAAAGCCAGAGCAGGGGAGTCTGGCTTTGTTTCCTGAACACAATGTCCATTTAGTCACAAGAGGCATGGCCTGTGGAAGACCTGATACCGGTGGCCTATAAGGGGGCAGCACTGGAGGATGGAGAGGGGTGGCTGGAGGGCCTGGGCCTGTGAGGACACCATGAAGAAGGTCATGTGAGTACGAGCCCCACAAGGGCTGGCATGGGTCATCAGGGTTCTACCTGGGGAGTGCAGTCCTTGGAGCCCCACCCCCAAGGAATGCAGAGCCTGGGGCCTAGCTGGTGTAAATCCCCAGGCCTGCTCCAGCCGAGCCACCCTCAGCAGCACCTGCATCCTCTGGCAGCCCAGCTAGGCAGAAGGGAGTGGCCCCCCCACCTCTCTTCTCTCTGGCCCTGAGATTAACACCTCTCCATACCCATACCATACCCACACTAGAGGGGTGAGCGTAGCAGTGGGAGGATAAAAACCTATGTATGCAGATGGGAGTGTGCAAATACATGCACCAGTGTGGGCAACAGCAAGTAGGAGCATCAGCAAGCTTAAATGAGTTGGGTAAGTGAAAAAATCTGCATGTATCTGGCCCATGCCCAGTAACGTAGGGTAGAGACAGGATTTGTGCAGAGTGAAGACAACACAACAATCCTTTTCTTGACAAAAGGAAACTGAGTCATGGAGCTGAGGAGTCAGGAGGGGTAAGAGCTGAAGAGTGGAGACTCCAGCCCGCAGGCCTCAGTGCTGTGAGACTTCTGAGGAGCACAGGAGCTAGGACAGCCAGTGTGGAATGGGGGAGGATAAGAACCAGGCAGGGGAGCCAGTGGTTGGGGGGCAGGTGACAAGCTTTGGCCTGCAAGAGAAGGTGACCCTCACCCAGTGTGCTTAACTCACCCTTCAGATTAAAAATAACCAAGGTAGCATGATGGCGGGGAGGGGAGGTGGTGGAGAAAGTTCTGTCTTCCCCATTATCTGCCCATCGGCCTTGGAGGGGAGGAATGTGCCCAAGGACTAAAAAAGGCCCTGCACCCAGAGGGGCCAGGGTGACAGACCTTTCATGGGCAAACCTGGGGGCTGTCATGTCCTCCCTTCACCTCCAGAGCCAAGGGATCAGGGAGGAGGAGTCAGGCGGGGCAAGAGGTGGGAGGGAGGGTCCCTCCGGAAGGAGTCCAAATTTAGGCATCGGGGTGGGAGAATGAGATATAAAGGAACCGAGCTTGGAGGACAGGCTGAGATTCCCCCAGCCAAGGTAAGAGAGAGATTGGGATGGAGGTTCTGCAGCCAGTCCAGGCAGCCCTCACCTTGGGGGACCCTGCCTTCCCTGGCAGTGGGGTGCATGTCAGTCAGAGGCTCCTAGTGCTGTCTTCCTACCCCAGGAAGTTGCCTCTGGGAGCATCAGATACTTTTTCTGGAATGGTCTCCTCCTCTGCCCACACTGTTCTGTACCTTCTTATACAATGCCCTCTCCTTCCTCCCTCCTTGGAAAGCCTCCTTCCTTTTGTCTTGTTTTTTATCTTGCCTCTCGGTCTTTGTCAGTACTCACCCCAGGTACTTTCTCAGCCTCTCTCTCTCCCCTGTCCTTCCTTCTCAGCTGTGTGTTCTAATTTCCCTGCCTGTTTCTCCGTTTCCACGTCCCAGCCTCCCCACTTTTTCTGGCTCTGCATCTTTTCTCACGTGTGTATGGCACTGGGATGGAACCCAGGGCCTGGGCATGGTAAGCACCTGCTCTTCCACTGAGCTACACCCTCTGCATCCTTCCTGCTCCTCCTTGTGGTTCTACATCCCTATCTCCCTCCCTGTGCCCAACTGATCAGTGGAGTCTGGCTGTCTGTTGGTGTTGAGCCTCTTCCTCCCAGCTGACCTCCTCTGTTGCTCTTTCTCCTGCTCTTTTTTCTGCCTGGCTGCACCTCTGGGGCACCTTACTCTACCTGTGGTCCTGATTCCTCAGGATTCTCTGTGAAGAAATAACCAGGTGAGAGCCATTGCAGTGTTCTCTGCAGACCCGAGGACAAATCAGATTGCTGGACCAGGGGCCCCATCTCTCATCTAAGTAGCTCAGCACTCTTCTTTGGCAAACTTCAGCCAATCCCTCCCATGCAAAATTCCTGAGTCCCTCCTAAGATCACTCAGAGCAGAAGAAGCAGAAGTTCCAAGGGAGAGGGTGGGTCAAGTTGATGCCTTAACGGGATGAGGTAGGAGAGTGAGAGACCTGGTGGGGTAAAGGGCAAGGCCCCCTACAGAAACCTACGATCACCTCAGAAGTAACAGCTCCCCTGTCTTGGCCTTAGAAGAGCTACACAATGACAGACTCCCAGATGGCTGAATTTGGGGAGGCTGCCCCGTACCTCCGGAAGTCAGAGAAGGAGCGTCTAGAGGCCCAGACTCGGCCTTTTGACATCCGCACTGAATGCTTCGTCCCTGATGACAAAGAGGAATTTGTCAAGGCCAAGATTGTGTCACGGGAGGGAGGCAAGGTCACCGCCGAGACAGAGAATGGCAAGGTGCATAGGGCACAGTGGCAGGGCAGGGTGGGGGAAGATTAGGGGAAGGGACTGGCCTGGAGCCACCTGGAGGGATCCCAGAAGGCCAGATCTGAGCCTTCGTTCACAGAGAGCTCGGGGCAGGTACATGGGGCATCACCCATGTACGCAGAATGTACGCAGCTTGCCAGAGGGGATGTGGGCAGGTTCTGGGGCAGCTGTTTTCCTCCTCAGCGAGGCCTTGTAGACAGAGACACAGACAGAGCATTAAATGAAGCTTCCTTTCAGTATGGAATCCACTTCTCTGTGCCTCAGTTTCCCGCATGAGTCCATTTTCTTAAATTCACTTCACTTAAATAGGAACAAATTCTTAGATCAGTTTTGAGCTCAGAGCTCAGTTCTGAGACCAGAGAACCCTGCTCCCTGGGTTGCTCATACCAATCATGAGAATTGCTCCAAGTGACAGCAGGGCTCAAAGAGGTTGCCTCTCCGACTTGCTGGAGAATGCTGTACCTCATTGAGGTTGGAATAATGGGCCAAAACCACAGGGACTTTGACTCTGACCTCAGGTCTGGCACTAGCAGGTCCCTGTGCTGGTAAATCATGTAATCAGTTTGAGCCACAGCCAGGCTTCTCCCCTACAAGATTGCTAGAATTCCTACCGGCAGGATTCAATGCAATCAGGCCACGGCAAGTTGGTGCTGATCAAACCATACCGACAGTGACCTATGGACAGCGCAGGCCAAAGCACTAATGGCCTTGAGCATGGCCACCGGAGATGGTTTCAGCGTCAGGGTGAGGTGTACACAGAGTTAACAGTTTCTAGCCCCCGGGTTCACCTCCACATACTTGAAATATGAGGACTGGAAAGTGACCATCATTGGTGACAGAGCCTGGAGAACTGGCAAGATAGAGGGGCCTACCCTGGTCTCTACACAGGAGAGACTGTGCAGGAAAGTTAGCTGGGGACTGTGTCCTGGGCAAACTCTGGCTGGAGGGCTGGAGCATCGGCTAGCAAAGAGCTGGGGAGCAAGGCAGAGCCCAGGATGAGTCAGTTCTTGGGAGAGGGAAGAGGGCAAGGCTGGCAAGGAGGGCTGACAAGGTTACTGATGAGAATGTGGTCATCCCATCCTACCACTCCGTGCTCCTTCTGTAGACGGTGACAGTGAAGGAGGACCAGGTGATGCAACAGAACCCTCCCAAGTTTGACAAGATCGAGGACATGGCCATGCTGACCTTTCTGCACGAGCCTGCAGTGCTGTACAACCTCAAGGAGCGCTACGCGGCCTGGATGATCTATGTGAGTGGTGGCTGCATCCTGCAGGGATGCCCTCCCCTCCTAGATGGAGGCTTAAGCAGTCCAGGGAGACTCTCCTCAAGAGAAGGGTAGGGCTTATCCCAAGGGATCCCCCCTCCACTTCCCTATCCACTGCTCGTCAGCTGAAGAAAGACAGGCACTAGCTAGAGTGACCTAGGATGCCCTGGCTGCCACCACTGCCCACCAGGGCTCTCCTCACCAATCTCATGCCTTCTCTTGATCCAGACCTACTCAGGCCTCTTCTGTGTCACCGTCAACCCTTACAAGTGGCTGCCAGTGTACAACGCTGATGTGGTGACAGCCTACAGGGGCAAGAAGAGGAGTGAAGCCCCACCCCACATCTTCTCCATCTCTGACAACGCCTATCAGTACATGCTGACGGGTGAGCCTGGCACCTCAGTTCATGCCCCAACCCCACACCTGCCTATGCCCTCAGCCCTGACCCCATTGCCTCTGCTCTCTTCCAGATCGGGAGAACCAGTCCATCCTCATTACGTAAGCAAGCACCATCTACCCACAGGGGTCTGGGGTGCAGGAGGAGAGGTTTCAGGCTGTAATTGCAGAGAGTATGGATGCAGGGCTCTTTTAGGAGGGAAGATCCTGTACAGAACTGGGGGAATAGGCTGGGAAGGAAAGAATGTGGGGCATTAGGCTTTGATGGGTTGTCATTGATCTTTGTTGACCTCAGCGGAGAATCCGGAGCAGGGAAGACTGTGAACACAAAGCGTGTCATCCAGTACTTTGCCAGCATTGCAGCTATCGGTGACCGTGGCAAGAAGGACAATCCCAATGCAAACAAGGTGCTGTGGGGCCCACAGGCACAGCAGCAAGGGGGTTGGGGTCAGTGTCAGCACAATGTGAAACACCCTTCTGGCTGGGGACACACACTGTGAGGTCAGAGGCCCTTTGGAGCCACACACCTACCAGCTATTCATCTAGCCCCAGCCTAGTCAGCAGGGCCTGCTCGCCAGAGTCTGCCAGGAGGTGGGCAGAGAATGACCCATGCTCTTGTTCCCTTCACAGGGCACCCTGGAGGACCAGATCATCCAGGCTAACCCCGCCCTGGAGGCCTTTGGCAACGCCAAAACCGTCCGGAATGACAACTCCTCCCGCTTTGTGAGTGACCCTTGGCCATGCCAGTGGCCTGGACAAGAAAAGGGGGTGCTGTTGAGATGACAGCCAGCATGCCGAGCTGCTTGTGTCATGTTTGGAGTACCAATGAGCACACACATATGTGCTCACACAGACTCACTCGCTCAAAACCCTCCCCATACTGCCTGGCTCTTGAGTTCTGTGAACCGGACAAAAGAGGCCCACAGTCACCACAGCTGTCCATAGCCCACTAATAGCCAATTTGGTTATATTTTAGATTTATCTTCTGAATGCTTTCAAAGCTCTTCTGCAGTGGGTTGATAAAAGGCTGTAGGCTCTGGGGCCAAAGCTCTGTGTTCAGCAAGTTCCCACCTTCTTGAGCCCCAGGGCCCTCGCCTGTAGTGCAGGGCAGCAATATCTGGGAAGCAGGATCACATGAGATAAAAGGAGAGGCACAAACAAGAGGCAACTACATGTGCCAATCCCTATGCTCCTATTTCCATGGGGACCCCCAGTGGGATTTGGGGAGAAGCATCCTTCGGCCTGTTTCACTGATACTGAGCTTAGACACCAAGTGGATCATTTATGTTCAGGAACCAGGGCTTTCTGGGTTAAATTGAAGTCCAAGGCGTAATTCTGTCTCTTTCATCAGTTCTTTACTCTGTACCATCTACACACAGGGAAAATTCATTAGGATCCACTTTGGAGCCACCGGAAAGCTGGCTTCTGCAGACATAGAGACCTGTGAGTGTCAGGGAGACTGTCCACCCCCTGGGTCCCTGCTGCGGCCAATCTGGTGGCCTTCCCTCATCTCTGGAGTACACATGCTTCCCTTTTGCTAGCTCTCCTCTCTTTCTCACCTGTCTTCCTCCCCTCTCCCCATCTCAGATCTGCTGGAGAAGTCTCGGGTGATCTTCCAGCTAAAGGCTGAGAGGAACTACCACATCTTCTATCAGATCCTGTCCAACAAGAAGCCAGAGCTGCTGGGTGAGCCCAGCCTGAGCCCATTGCCTGCTGCCCACCCCAAAGCCTGCCGTGTGTGGTGTCAGTCCCTCAGGACTGGCCTACATCTCGTTTTTCCTCCCCAGAACACAATCACACACCTTGTTCCTCACCTCACATCTCTCCACTTTTCCCTGGGTATATTTCTCCTATTCCTGTTGATCATCTCTTCCTCACTTGCCATCTCTTCTCCCACATGTCATTCCCCCAGTACCCACCCTCTTCCTTTTTGTCTGGACATTGGCTCTTCCCTTCTCAAGTCCTCCCTCTGAGCTTTCGTTGCCTTTTGATTCTTTCCTTGGTCCTTGTGGATTCTCCTCTTCTCTGCCAACCCCCTGTCCTCTCCTCCTCTGTTCCTGCTCCATTCTGCTCTTCTCCATATTCCCTGCCTTCTCCTCACCACCGTGTTCCTGCCCCGCTCTCCCTTGCCTGACACAGACATGCTGCTGCTCACCAACAATCCCTACGACTACGCCTTTGTGTCTCAGGGAGAGGTGTCTGTAGCCTCCATCGATGACTCCGAAGAGCTCATGGCCACTGATGTGAGTGAGGAGGCTGGGGTGGCCATGTCAGGGCTCTTGAAAGCTCCCAGGCCATCATCTAACTGCCCTTTATGCTCCTTGCTCCATCCCAGAGTGCCTTTGATGTGCTTGGCTTCACTCAAGAGGAGAAAGCTGGTGTCTACAAGCTGACTGGCGCCATCATGCACTATGGGAACATGAAGTTCAAGCAGAAGCAGCGGGAGGAACAGGCAGAACCAGATGGCACCGAAGGTACACAGTGCAGGCGGGCAGGGCAGAGAAGGCCTGAGGGGCTGGCTGGGGGGCATGACCTGCTGGCCCATGTTACCGGAGACAGGCCCAGGAACTGGGTGCCTGTCTTGGGTACCATGCTGTACCCAAAGGTTCTTTCAATAATTCTTAGAGAATAGGTGCCAACAGGATTGTTTGAAGCACCACCACCACAGCAACAAAACCAGAAGGAAATCGGGAATATGAGAAGCAGACAGTCAGAGAGCAGGCCTTTTCCAGGGGCAGTTAGAACCCTGCTGGGCCTATGGCCACCCATCATCTTCAAATGGGAGTAGTTAGAAGAGAAGGATGAGGGGTGAGGAGGGACAGGGACAGGGGAGAGAGGAGTAGCCAGGGAGTTTTCCCACAACCACAGCTACACTATCCAGAACTAAGTTAGGGTAGGGAACGAGGGTCATTGAAAACACTGTGCCTTTCTTCTCAACCAGATGCTGACAAGTCTGCCTATCTCATGGGGCTGAACTCTGCCGACCTGCTCAAGGGGTTGTGCCACCCTCGTGTGAAGGTGGGCAATGAATACGTCACCAAGGGGCAGAGTGTGCAGCAGGTGTACTACTCCATTGGAGCGCTGGCCAAGTCAGTGTATGAGAAAATGTTCAACTGGATGGTGACACGCATCAATGCCACCCTGGAGACCAAGCAGCCACGCCAGTACTTCATAGGGGTCCTTGACATCGCTGGCTTTGAGATCTTCGATGTGAGTCTGGAGCCCTGGGAGTAGGGATGGCCGCTCATTCTCTCACATGATCACAGTCACTGTGCAAGGCCCGCTGGGCTGGGAAGCCAGTGGAACTCAGGCCATGCCATGGCAGTCATCGTCCCTGTCCTCAGGGGAACACACACCACCATCCCCATCCCCCTAACCTGGCCTGGAAGGGACCAGCCACCCCTGCTGGATCCAGGCAGGACACATGCTGGGCTGACCACCACGGCCCCTCAGCCTCTCTCCTGACCCACTGCTGCCCTCACCCCTCTGCAGTTCAACAGCTTTGAGCAGCTCTGCATCAACTTCACCAACGAGAAGCTGCAACAGTTCTTCAACCACCACATGTTCGTGCTGGAGCAGGAGGAGTACAAGAAGGAGGGCATCGAGTGGGAGTTCATTGACTTTGGCATGGACCTGCAGGCCTGCATTGACCTCATCGAGAAGGTGTCCCCTGACCCCTGCTGTGCCTCCTCCTCTGCCACCCCAGCCCAAGTGGCAGCCCCATCCCTTCTGGGTGGTGCGATCTGACTAGCAGAAGTGAGGCTGAAGAATCCCGAGCCCCAGTTTCCAGGGCCCTTTGATGGTCTAGAACCCAGGGGCTTGAGAGTGGGCCTGTGGAGGACAGGCCCCTGCAGGGTGGTCTCCCCTAGCATCAGGCTTGCTGGTCCTCGCTTACACAGCCAAGGACCAGGATGTGTCACATGGTGTGCTTTCAGCTCCCTCTCAGGGGTCTGGTGATGGAGTGGTGCCAGCCGGTAGATAACTGTTCTCTTCACTGAGCTGAATCCATTAATGCCCGGAGAGCATCTCCACAGGCACACAAGGGCTGCAGAGCAGACCCCATCTCCAACTGTGTGGAGCACACTTGGTGACATGCTCTCCTTGCCCTCAGCCCATGGGCATCATGTCCATCCTGGAGGAGGAGTGCATGTTCCCCAAGGCCACTGACATGACCTTCAAGGCCAAGCTGTATGACAACCACCTGGGCAAGTCCAACAACTTCCAGAAACCACGCAACATCAAGGGGAAACAGGAGGCTCACTTCTCCCTGATCCACTATGCTGGTACCGTAGACTACAACATCTTGGGCTGGCTGGAAAAAAACAAGGACCCACTCAATGAGACAGTGGTGGGCCTGTACCAGAAGTCCTCCCTCAAGCTCATGGCCACACTCTTCTCCTCCTATGCTTCTGCCGATGCTGGTAAGGGGGCAGCCTCTCAGCTGGGTATGGGGGCTTCTGGAGGTGCAAGGGCCAGAGGCAGGCAGGGGCACCCAGGAGTCAGGAGAGCCCACTGCTGGCCCCCTGTACCTCCCCGCTGCAGTACTTCCCATTTGCTGCCTCACATTATGGATATTGTTATGCATATCTGTTTCTTCACAACTGAACCACTGGGGGTCAGGTAATGTAGCACATGAGTCACTGTCACACTGTCATAGAGTCATACACACAGGATTCTCTGAGAGTCATATACTCAGAAAATCACTGAACAAATGTAAGAAAAAAATGGATTTCCAGTTCAGAGAAAGAAGAGCAGTATGTGGACAGAATGAGGGGGTACAAGGAGAAACGTAGAAAGAAGGAAGACAAAAGAGAAGGGTAGAGTTAGAAGGAAGAACACAACATCATTGATACTATGTCAAAACCTTCTGCTAAGCTGCCCTAGTCCTATCCAGGCTGCTTTCCAGCCTTCAGGGGCAGTTACTTCCATCCTATGGAAAACTGAGAGTTGGAGAACAGCTGGTAGAAATTGTACCACCTCTGAGTACCCAAGACTTGCCCCTTCCCGGGACTCCTCTGTCTTCAAGCGCATGCTCACCATTCCTTCTCCTGTTACTAGGAGATAGTGGTAAAGGCAAAGGAGGCAAGAAAAAAGGCTCATCCTTCCAGACAGTGTCTGCACTCCACCGGGTAAGAAGGGCCCAAGACTCCGTATCTGTAGTGGGTAAACCTAGTGCACCCTATCCTGATGTTCTGAATATAAGGATGACAGAAGCTAGAGCTGTGTGGTTATTTCGGTGCAAAATTTCCACACCGATGGGGTGTGGTATCACATGCCTATAATCCCAGCACTTGGAAGGCTGAGGCAGGAGGATCACTGCAAGTTTGAGGCCAGCTTGGGCTACATAGTAAGTTCAGTGCTAACTTGAACTACATAATGAGACCCTGTCTCAAAAAACAAAGAGAGAGACAGAGACAGAGACAGAGACAGAGACAGACAGACAGACAGACAGACAGACAGACAGACAGACAGACAGAGAAACAGAGACAGACACACACAGAGAGAATAAATTCCACACAAGTATGAAATATATAAATTATAATGTGTCAATCCTCTATCCCTTTGATAGTTCTGGTGACAGGGTCTCTGGGTCCCAGAGCTAAGGGATGCAAGAGAAGATCCTTGTGACTTCTGACTCCTTATCTTCATCCATCCCCAGGAAAATCTGAATAAGCTGATGACTAACCTGAGGACCACCCATCCTCACTTTGTGCGCTGCATCATCCCCAATGAGCGAAAGGCTCCAGGTGAATCTCAGAAAGGCTGTAGTCTGGGAGGGGACGCTTGGCACCCACTTATCCTGAGATTGACCCCTTCCCTTCCCCTCTTGTCACAGGGGTGATGGACAATCCCTTGGTCATGCACCAGCTGCGCTGCAACGGTGTGCTGGAGGGCATCCGCATCTGCAGGAAGGGCTTCCCCAACCGCATCCTCTACGGGGACTTCCGGCAGAGGTGGGCACAGGGGGCTGTGGAGCTCAGGGAGGATGGGCAGCACGGGGAGCTTGGGCTGCCATGTGGCGGTGGGAGTCTGCAGGGGGCGCTGGAATTGGGTGGGCAGAGCAGATCCTGGCAGAACTGGGCTGACTGTGGCACTTCCTTCCCCAGGTATCGGATCCTGAACCCCGCAGCCATTCCTGAGGGGCAGTTCATTGACAGCAGGAAAGGGGCTGAGAAGCTGCTAGGCTCCCTGGACATTGACCACAATCAGTACAAGTTTGGCCATACCAAGGTGAATCTTGAGCCCTACTGGGAGGTTCAGGGCAGGTGTTCCTGTTGCATGAAGCAGATGAAAGATGAGGTGGCAGCCCCGCTTCCTGGCTTCTTTCCCAGTGCATGGACTGCAAACCAGGCTGCATTCCTCTCTTGTGTAGTATGCGTGGGATTAGGTTCTCTGAGGCTCACCCAGACCCCTCCTTCCCTCTGCCCCCACCCTGGACACCCCTCTCTTAGACTGAGCACTCTGATCCCACCTCTTGCCCACAGGTGTTCTTCAAGGCGGGGCTGCTGGGGTTGCTGGAGGAGATGAGAGATGAGCGGCTGAGCCGCATCATCACACGCATCCAAGCGCAGTCCCGGGGCCAGCTCATGCGCATCGAGTTCAAGAAGATGGTGGAGCGCAGGTGAGGTGGGGAGCAAAAAAGGTGTCTGAAATGTTGGAGAATTGCTGAATAGTATAGGTTGGAAAACAGAGATTCAGATCCAAGTTCTAAAGTAGCTGGCCTGGGCACATTACTATACCACTCTGCACCTAATTTTGAATCTTTTTTTTATACTCCATTTTAAAACAGTAGATTGACAAAAGTTAAGAAGTCTGACCTACGATTAACTGGTGTGTACTTTTTTTATATGATTTTCTTTTCTTTTTTTATTTTTTTGGTGGTACCGGGGATTGAACTCAGGACCTTGTGCTTGCCAGGCAAGTGCTTATTCTACTGAGCTGTCTCCCCAGCCCCTGATTTCCTTTTATTTTGAAGAGTAAAAACAAGAGCAAGAAAAACAGAAGCAAAGACAGAAACAGGGTAACATATAGCAATATATACATTACAGATTTTCAAAACAAGAATATCTGATCAATAGTGATTGATAGATTATCTATTTTTATCATTAAATCTGTTGCTCAGATTAACAGATAAAGTTACAAAAGATGGGACATATGATTGAATTTTTTTTTTTTTTTCAGAACCAGGGATTGAACTCAGACCCTTGCGCTTGCCAGGGAAGCGCTTATTCCACTGAGCCATCTCCCCAGCTCCATATATGATTGAATATTACCACATGCTTTCAAGAAATCTTAAATTTTTGTTCTTCTCTCTCATTTTCTTTTATTACCTTTTTTAAAAAATCTACTTTAAAGAGAGTATAGTAATAATTGATATGACATTAGAAATGGTATATATTTAGAAGACCAAGATGACAGGTATTTCAAGCGTAGTTTTAGTATTACACATTGCTGTCCTCAATATAGTTGCTTAGTTCACAGATATCAACATAGAATTAGTCAGGGTGAGAATTCTACCCATCAACTGCTATTTTCAAAAACCTGATGGAAATTCTTAGGACTATTGCTTTATCCATCTTGTATATATACATGTATGGTTTTGCCCCCATCTTATTTCCTAACTTTTCTCCTTTCTCTCTCTTTGTTGTTAAATCCTTAAGTTCTATTTCTTTTCATTTTACTGTGTCTGTTATACCTTTCAGTTTTTATTTCTTCTTTTGAGTTCTTACACTATTTTTATACAATGGAGTATTACTCAGCTGTAAAGAAAAACAAACCGGAAGCCTCCATAGGTAAGTGGATGCAACTTGAGGCTATACTCATAAGTGAAATAAACCAGATCCACATGGGTAAATATCATATTGTCCCCCTAGTGTAAGAACTCAAAAGAAGAAATAAAAACTGAAAGGTATAACAGACACAATTAAATGGAAATAAACAGAACTTAGGGTTTGTTTTTTTAAAAAAACAACTATCATTTTCTTTTAAAGCTGAACAATAATACTTTTCAGTACCACTCCTGAATGCAATTCCACCTGCAAAGAAATTCCTATACATGTATACCAAGAAAAAAGAAGAGAGAGAAAGAAAGTCTTCATAACAGCATTGGTCATAATAGTATGGATCTGAAAACAACCTGAATTTCCATCCAAAGAGGAGTGATTTTATTATCATTTAGTAAAATACCATAGACTGCTAGGAAGATGCAGTGGCCGGGGTTTGATCCCCAGCATGCTGTGCTGACCCTGCCCCTGGGGCACGCTGAGACTGAGATTGAGATTAGGCGGGGTGGTGCATGCCTATAATCCCAACTCTTGGGAAGCTGAACACAGATGGATCACTATGAGTCTGATCTATGTAGTGAGACCCTGTAGACCCTATAGATCCTGTCCTAAAATACAAAAAAAGAAAAAGAAAAAGAAAAAGAAAGAAAAGAAAGAAAAAAGAAAAGAAAAAGAAAGACCACAGAGCAATGAGAAGTAGTGAATTACACTGCATGGTTTGCACCTTAAGAGCATATTGTTGAATGAACAAAAACAAGTCTTAATCCTAGAAATCTGGGAG